AAAAAAAACCCATGTCTGCCATCGATGTTGTGGAAAACACAGCATTGCTCAAAATGTCATTTCACAAGTGCCCTGTGCAGTGTACCGCGTTTATCTTTGCAGTGTAATAATTATGCTGCCAAAAAAAAAAAAATGCAGGAGAGTGTGTGCCGTGCGTGTAATTTGAAATATCGAGTTCTAGTTAACGAGGATGAAATGAAAAGCAGCGTTTATATGATGGCGCTGATTTTACGGCTCAGAGGAATAGTAAGAGTGGATCCGTGTCACCATTTGGCCTACAAAATACTGCACCTGGGGTGCGTGAAATTTATATCTCGGTGAAGTACGCAATCACATTCGTCGTTATCAATTGGAACATAACTCAATCCCATCTGTCTCCCTTCCCTTAATCTACGTATCCTTAAATATTATCTTATCCTTAATTTTTTCCAGTTAGAGATAATGCAATTAACTGTGTTTCTAAATCAATTGTCCTACATATTCTTACTATGAATGCAACTTGTGCATGCATTTATACCTGCACCATAATGTCCTGGTATCAAATACGAATTTCAAAAGTACATACCTGTGGGTTAAGCCCGGCCAGCGTCTCGTTACGCCAACATCTGTGCCTGCAACAAGTACATGCTTGATTCATACGGAAGAAAAGTAACGTCCACTCTTGGTCTTGGAAGTACAGAGAGTCACACAAATGGCACGTCGCAACGACTCCAAAAATCAAAGTATGCGCTAATTAACAATGTCAGTTGTCAGGCAGTCATAATCACGTACTTATAAAAGTATATTGTTTATTTATGCGCACTTAGGTAAAAGTCATAAATATTAATTTTTCCAGTATGCTTACTTCCATCAAAAACTATCATATAACATATATATATATATAAATTATATACAAGAAATTTTATAAAATTATATAGTCTGATGTTTCAAATACTCAATATCTAATATTATGATTCATAAATTTGTATTCTTAATTAAATTAATTATATAAATGTTGCAGAGAAAATTATTTATAGTTGCAGAAAAAAGTTCTTGATATTTCGTTGTAAATAAATATATTATAACAAATTTACAATAGAATAAAGTATATATTATTACATTTCTTCAAAATAATAAATTTTATTCATTAATAATAATTTTGGAAAAAATGTTATTAAATCAGAAAAAAATATTTATATTTTCGTTGAAATATATTTATACAAAGAGATATGACTGTTTACAAAAATGATTAAAGAATTCTTTTTGAATCTAATTAATTTATTTTATAAAAATAATTTGAAATCCTTACACATAATATAAGTAAATAATACAAAATATTACTTAAATTTTAGAATATATTGGATATTTATATTTATATTTTTAATAATTCAAATATCAAAAATTACATTTATTTAAAGGATCTTTAAAAAAAGTTTTAAAAACATTAAGACAATATAAAATACAATCGCTGGCTAGATATTGAGAAAAAAAAAACAAAACTAACTTGCAGGCTTAAAATAGAGAACTAATATATGCGCGCGCGCGCATATGTATTACATCTCCTATATGAAACATACATATTCCATTATTTCACTGTAATTATTTTAATGGTCAAGAATTATGTTATTTTACAAGAAATATTCTTGTAAGATATAAATATATACATACATCACAAATATATATGTAATAACTACTGCAATTTTAAGAAACACATAGATTCCATTGAATGTTAAAGTTCTAGAAGTAGAAAAATTTATAGATTATTCCTTTATAGGTGAGCTAGCTTCATTGAGAGAATCCGAAAACAAATACAGACAACAATATATAGAGGCATCTCACAGGGAGAAGATCTTAGTGAGGAGGCTTGCCTCTAAAGAGCAGGAATTACAAGAATATATTGTATGTAATTATTCTCAGATACATCGAAATTTTAGTATAGTTTATCTTGCAAAATTTATTTCTATATGATCTCATATAAAAAGGATTTATTTTTTTCATTATTAGAATCAAATAACTGAAATGAAAGCCACCCAAGCTCCGTCCACAGCTGCATTAAGGTCCGCTCTATTAGATCCGGCTGTTAATATATTAATACAAAAATTAAGGCAAGAGTTAATAACGACCAAGGGCAAATTAGAGGATACGCAGAATGAACTAAGCGCGTGGAAATTCACGCCGGATAGGTCAGAAAAACTTTATACATTAAATAAAAGACATCGCATATGATACAAGTGTTTTCATTAAATTAAATATTTTATTTACAGTAACACGGGGAAAAGATTAATGGCAAAATGTAGGTTGTTATATCAAGAAAATGAAGAACTTGGTCGTATGATTGCCAGTGGACGTATTGCTAAATTGGAAGGCGAACTTGCTCTGCAAAAGAGTTTTAGTGAGGAAGTGAAAAAGTCACAATCAGGTATCATATTAGTTATTCATTGATTTACATTGTTATTAACTTTTACCAAGTAATTATTATAATTATTGCAATTAAAATCGGATTCTGTGATCAAAATATTTCAAATATAATTAATTCATTTTCATTTAATTTGTTACAGAATTAGATGAGTTTCTGCAGGATTTAGATGAAGACGTAGAGGGTATGCAGAGCACTATTTACTTTTTGCAACAAGAACTGCGCAAAGCACGAGAATCCGTCACGCTACTGCAACAGGAGAATGCAGCATTAAAGGCAAGTACAAACGAGAATAATCTATCGAATGGTTTATCGCCCCATACGCCGCCAATTAAGAAAGAGGAACAAGAAGAAACTACAGTACCAGAAATGAAATCTTCAAAACCGATGGAGGACAGTGATATGTGCAAAGGTGTGAGGACTTCACCGTTAGCGTCGCCCCAGAGTGAGCTTACCAGTGTCGAAAGAACAGAACGTGCGGAGAGAAAACTTAATCAAGCCGATCACAATGACGAGAGTTCCAGCGATTCCGCGGCGTTAATTATTAAAGTTGAGAATGAGGAACTTAGTGATAGGGAAGAAGAGCAGGAGGAAAATCGGAACAAACGAATATTAAGAAATAAAAATCACAGTAGGAATAGTGGTAAATCAAATGGGGAGGAGGTGACAACACGAACAACACGGGGTAGGGACAGGATAAAGAGGGAGAAAAGTGCAGCCAGTAGTGATGATGAAAGGACGCACAAGAAGAAACGAAGGGAAAGCATTCTTTCTCTCGATTATAACGAAGCCGATGATGATGCGTTAGTTTTAACTAATGGCGAGACTCTGCAGAGTGATCCCGAATGAATATTGTTTTAGGTTGATTTTGGACAACATTAACTACACGTGTAGTTGAAATTTGCGATATATGATTTGACATCCACTATGTACAAAATTTTTCATCTAAAGCAACGCTGGTTGCCTATTTACAAGATATTGTTCGAAAAAAAAAAAATAATTAGCCATAAAGAAACGTAATTTCAGTACCTGTATTCGTGATAAACTGCAAAGGATAAATATTCACATTGGTCTCTAAAATGACAAGCCTGTAAATACTCTTATACCATTAGATCGATATAAAGTTCGTTTATGTGAAGTTATTTGCAAACGACCAAGTTGCGTATTACATTACAAAGATGTATCAGACGAAAAATCTGAATAGGTTAATATAATTTATTACAGCCGAATACGCTGTAAGGAAAACTCAGAACAATCGAATTTTGTTTGTATTTTGTAAATTTATTGTATTAAAACTCTATGTAAAAATCAGCAAAAGCTTTGGTTCATCAGTAAAAGACGGATAATTCGAAAGATATTGTCAAGAATTAATCAAAAACGCCTGACCATATTACGTAGATAAATCAAGTAAATTTTAATATTTTCGGATATAGAAAGCGAACTGTGAGATTTTCGTGTTATGTACATACGTAACGGTCCGATGTACATATGTATTTTTGTGCAATATGAGGCATCGACCGCGATTTAATTTTGCTTTTACCGAATAATTGGAAAACAAAGCATATGATAAAATATACAATATTAGTCTTAGTAATGCATATGGATTGATCTCACAGACTGATACATTAAACTCACATTTTTAATTTTCCTAAACTAAACTGAAATTTGTATAATGTTTGATATATTTTATATTTATATATGCAAATTTATTTTATATCGTCTCCGTAAAAAAAATAATGCGCTTTCAATTTTATTTATAGTTTATACTATAAGAAAAGAAACGGTGGATATCAAAAATATAAATTTGCATTAAAAAGAAAAATGTTATAAGGTAAAACGCATGATACTCCATCCCAAATTTTCTGTATATAGTGCCATTATTATTCTTGTATAGAAAATATTAATAATTTCTGAGATACGAGCGATAAAGAATAAAGTGCTTTTTCTTACGCACATTTTGCAATTAAAGCAAATGGTGTCTTCTTTTCTTCAAATAATTAAGAACGATTAGAAATAACTTTATATTTCGATAAGAATCCAATTTTGCTTACGCGATGTAGAACGTCCGCGTGTTAGTTTACACTAATCTTACCATTAAAAGTATGCTAACATGAATTGTGAATCTTCAACTGCAAAACATGATTATTAAAGGATTCCTTATTCAGACTGAACATATGTTAATTTTTTTCCATTCCATACTTTGCATTTAATTATATAATTGCGTAGTAAATATATGTATACATTGAAAAATGAAAATTTAAAGACAATTCCCAAACGAGGAAATTAAAAAATAAATAGATAAATTCTAATGTAAAATTTAACACATATTTAGAATATAATTTATTACACATAAAAAATTTCAATTTTAAGGAAAATGAATATTTTAAAACTTATAATCGACTCGATCTATCGATTTGCAATTAAGAATCGATATGCACTTTTAACCCTGTTCTTTGTTGCTATCCTATCTCATTTTTGCCAAACTTCAAATATATCGGTTTTATTTTAACATTATATATGTATAGTTCAGCTATAAAAGTTCTTACAGACATATTTTTAACTTTGTTTGGAAATGGCACTTTACCGCAAAAACCATCAATACATGATCCTACACGAATTTCCACTCTCGCCGGTATCGCAACATTCGGTGGATAGTTGAGTAAGTTCGTTTGTATTCTATTAGTATTTTCCAATGTAGTGGCAGTCAGGAGTAGTGGTGGTGCAGGACAGTGTAGAACTGTAGAACTGTGGAGAAACAGAACTCGGCAGAATCATACGGGCAACCGCAAGATCCACAAATAGAATCCTTGCAAATCCTGGGAAAGATCGAATCGCATCCTGAAAAACAGTTTACGTGTCGCTCCAATTATGTTCGCAGCAAGACGTATTCTGGTCTCCAAACCAATGTAAGCATAACGAAAACCGCCTCCCGGATTCTACGCTATTTTCACATTATGTAATTTCTAACCTGGCACGCACAACCTCTCGACATGTTTGCAACAATTTTTCATAAGTATCTACATAACGAACACTTGTATTACCGAGCTCTTACTCGAATCGTTTGACAAACCGATGAATTTTTAATAATTTATGCAAAATCATATGTGTGCAAGTACACTTTCTGTACTTTTTTGTATCAACGTAAAAACTGGCAGCAACGTGTTTACAGCTGATCGGCGAATTTTCCCTTTCCAAAGAAAAATAACACGAGAAATACAGAATTTAAAATAAGAGATTAACTTATCTTTTAATAATGCAAATGGATAATTTTACTGAAATGTTTTTCAAAAATTATTTTAGTATATCCGTTTATTTTATTTTTTTATTTTTTTTTTTATTAAAAAAACTTCCGTATAGAGTTATCTAGCACACTTTTTTTTTTCATGTAGATTATTTTTTTATATTATATTCTTCATAATTAGTTATCTAGAAACAAAAATCGTTTAATTCTGTAAACCTTTATAGTAGTAACCATTTTAATTAAAACCATACTGTTCTTGATATATGTAAATAAAAATATAGATAAAGATCATATATGAAAAAATTATACACATATTTTAAACGGAAAAAACAAAAGTTTTCAATTTGTAATGACAGTAAACGTTTATTTTACTTATTACTATTTGTTATTTTATATTTATATGTATACATATAATATTTTTTATTTATAACATATACTATTATATATACTATACATATATAGTATTATTTTGATTGTATAATAATGTAATCCCTTTTATAACTAATGCAGCAAGGATGTATTTGCAAGATCGAAGCATTCACTTCCAAATTTGCCGTACGATTATAAGGCTCTGGAGCCCATCATATCCAGTGAGATCATGGAGCTCCATCATTCCAAACATCACGCAACCTATGTTAACAATCTAAACGTCGCCGAGGAAAAAATGGGGGAGGCGATTGCAAAAGGCGACGTCAATACACAAATTGCCCTGGGCCCGGCTATCAAGTTCAACGGTGGTGGTCATATCAATCATTCAATCTTTTGGTGCAACCTTTCGCCCAATGGTGAAAATCCAGATGGTAATATAGACTCTCCAATTAATGTAAAAGAAGTACTTGAATAATATTCAAGTCAATTTATTCAGTAATTAAAAAATAATTCTTATAAAATTTTATTTTTAACAAAGTTTTTGTCAAGTCAGAGTAAAATTACACAATTAAAAATTGAGATTTTATTAGTGATTAGATTACTTTGTAATATATAATAATTTTATAAATTTTCAAACTCACGTAAGATCTAAAATTAAAATAAGGATCAAATCACTTTAATAAATGGGGAAAGACTTAGAAATTAAAGAATTTTTATTTTTTAGATATATAAAAAGAAAAGAAAAAAATAAATAGCTGATCACACACAATAAATGTGAATAGTTTTCAATAATTATAGATCTTTCCTTGGAAAAAAGAACTTGTGTATGTATGCAAGAGATGATTAGGTATAATAAAATTTTTCAATTTTATGCAATATAATCAGACGATATATACATATATAATTGTAGTTCATGCAGATGAATGATATATTGCATATTTTTGCTCAGCTGCCCTTTCAAAGCAAATCAACAAAGACTTTGGCAGCATGGAGGAAATGAAGAAATCTTTATCCCAGATTACCGTAGCAATTCAGGGCTCCGGTTGGGGTTGGCTCGGATACGATCAGAAGATCAAGTCGCTGAGGATAGCGACTTGTGCGAATCAAGATCCACTGCAATCCACTACTGGTCTCATTCCTCTCTTCGGTATCGACGTGTGGGAACACGCCTATTATTTACAATATAAGAATGTACGACCTGTTTATGTGGAAGCAATCTTCGACATTATTAACTGGAAGGATGTAAATGCACGTTTCAAAAACGCCACTGGTTGTTAAGGCTCAACAAAGTCGTTTAGCATTTAAATCCGATTTTTAGATATTAAGGTAACGTTTAAAGTGATGTTTCTATTAGGATTGAACGATATCATCAGGAATACAATCAGTAATTCTTCTGTAATGTGAATGTTTTTTTTTCTACGCTGTATCCAAAATAACATAATCGAGTAACAAGTAAAACAAGTGTGAAAAATATGTGAATGTAAAAGTACATTTACTTAGAGTAGTACATTTCCTTATCCTTAATATATATAATATAACTATTTTGTATCTTGAAAATTATAAATTAAGGAAATGCGTGATATGAAAGCAGTCATATTCTCACATTTTCTATACTTTTTCTTTGCTTTTCAATTGTTATTAAAAGAAAGTTAAACTATAAAGATTTCTAGTCCTAGGTAACCTTTTGACAAGTTACACAATTATTTCTATAATAACCATCAATGGAGGATTTAATATAATACTAAAGAAACAACTTATGATAAAATACATAATCTCTCGGTTCGTTTTACTTATAATTCTCTTAAAATATGCACTTTCAAAATAAAGTTATTAATGTTTTAATCTTTTAAATTATAAAATTATATTCCGAATTTATGAACATTGCTGACAGAGAAATTTAACATATTTAAGAATTTATTTCACTTTTACTTGATAGAAAACAGAACGAAAGATACCTATATATGAAAATAAATAGAAAATGTTAAGGTTTTCTTTCCAAGCTTTTATATAAAATCAATTTTTCATCAGTTATCATCAAACTATGAAAAATATTATATATATATGTGAATATATGAAAAATACTTTATATATATAAATACTATGAAAAATATTTTATATATGTGAATTATTAATTAATAATTTTTCATATATATATACAAATTGGTTAATAATGAGATAGATACAATACACTTGTAAATTGTAAGACATGTATTTATAAAATGACAGTAAAAATAAACAATTATATTATTATTGAATGAAATTTTTTTGCATTCAATTAAAAAATATTTTATTGTTTACAAAATTCAACAGAATTAAATAAAAGACCCCCTTCAGTCAACAATTTTACAATTTAAATAGAGCTTCTTTTAATCGCGCATTACAAATTTCCAGATGTAAATACGATATCAATTTCACACAAAGCAGCAATGTATCCCAAAGACAAATGGACCGCGAGAGGAGACGAATCTAGGAAAGATCACTTCCGACAAATTACCAGGAAACAAGGTTATGTTTGGGAATCACCAGCTATGATTCATTCGAGTTTCCAGGAAGCGAAACAGAGCACGAACCGCACCGTCTGCGTGTGCGCGGGAGCGGGATTGTGATCTTTATCCTCTGGCAACAAAGAGTGAGAGGATTCAGGGCAAGAACGCGCAGGTCCTTCGCGGTCACTGCTGGTCACTCCGAGTTGAACGTAGGCGCGAGCGGGCGCGGACGGCGGATAGCGTCGTGACAGATCCGTTCGTTCGTTCGTTCGTTCGTTCGGAGCAACGTTCGTGCGTTCGTCACGAAGAGTTGACGACGAGGAACCACGAGGAACGACGGAGTCGTGAGGCAAGAGGACAGGTGTTACACATAACAGACCGAGTCTCGCGCCGCGCGTACCGCGTGCAAGAGACTTCGGATAATCGATCGCAGGCGTCGGGCGTCGCGTCGGACCGCCGCACCGGAGAAGTCGGGCAACCGAGTGGCGTCGCGACGCACGGTGTGCACGCTCGGCGCTCGCCGCTTCCGTGGAACGTGTATCCGTATCTGTCCGTATCGTAGGAGCCAGAGCCAGTATGGCCGTAGAACCTCAGCTGTTTTCACGTCACTGCCTACGTATTTGGTGAGTCGCCTCGACAAGAGGTTTTTTTTTTCGTCGTTCGCGCGTGTTACTCGCGTTAACTTCTCTTTCCGTGGAACGTGTATCCGTATCTGTCCGTATCGTAGGAGCCAGAGCCAGTATGGCCGTAGAACTTCAGCTGTTTTCACGTCACTGCCTACGTATCTGGTGAGTCGCCTCGACAAGAGGTTTTTTTTTTCGTCGTTCGTGCGTGTTACTCGCGTTAACTTCTCTCACCTTTCTTTCTCTCTCTCTCTCTCTCTCTCTCCCACCCTCTCTCACGCAACCTGTCACGCGCGTAAACGTGCGTCGTGCGTGCGTCATGATCGCGATCGCGCGTCTTTACGAGCACTCCGTGCGAATGGCCTCGTAAGTATAAAGCGCAACATCGCGTCGTATATTGCCGCGACGGACAATCATTTATTCAAACGACCTCGTCGATGTTATCGATGGCAAGTGCACGATGTCCCGAGCGTTTTCGAAGCGCTAAACGATCGCGTCGTCGTTGTCCGTCACTCCCGAGTGAAACGTCGGAAATGAATCCGCGCGAATCTCGAGATGAGCGACGAAAGCGAATCGTTCTCTGTTTTTTAATTTTAAAACGTGTTGTACAGCTTGTCTTTCGATCATCGAAATTTCTAAATTGTGGCTTCGTGTGAATTGAAAATTTTGGATAGTCAGAGATGCGTGAAACTGGAAAATTTTCTCGAAACATCATCAAACCAAAACTCCGCGATCGAAATTGCGAGATGAAGTTAGACACGGTAATTCATATTGATTATCTTGAATCTCTCGCGTTACATTTTTCTGGAAAAAGATTTCTCCTTGTCATGATCGTCACTCATGATTTGATGAACCAGGGGTGCGTTCAGGAAAATTCAATATTATTTTGTCTCTGCTCACACCGATGTTAAACAAGGATAAAATGATATCTGGGTGTATCTGGGTAAAGTTTCTGAATGTAAGGTGCGAAAGGGTGGTTAATCAGTCTAAAGTTCTCGTATACTTCCTCGAGTATTCCGAACCATTAGCGTTGCGTCAGGGGTTGAAACGTAAAAATTGAGATTTCTCTTAATGAGAAAAATTAATATATTTGACAAGTCGGTATATTAACGCAGATTTATCGCATACCTGCCTTGTAGAAATTTAATAGAAAATAATAATTATTTTTTTCAGTATTAAAAAAGCATTGTTGTTCAATACTTTTAATTTAATATTTTAACCTTCAAAATAAATAATTTTCAGAGTATTAAATTGAATTTTTGTAAAGGAAAAAAGTGACCAAGTCATTTATAAAATTGTTTAGAAAAGAGGAAAGAAAATTGTGTATTTTATAAAATTAATTATTGATTATGTGAATTACCAACAGTATTAAATGTAAGTTAACCTAAAGCTAATTGCTTGTTTCAAGTTCTCTAAAAGTAGTCTGTAGTGTAGATATTAATTTTGTTACACTATTCGATTATCTCTATTTTAATTTGAAATTTTTTCTTTTTTTTTTTTAGAAGTATTTTAATTCGACTTGTATCACTTTTCCTGACTGAAGACGAATGTATGTTTTTTAGAACACATTTCGCACATACTTTAAAATTTGAAAAATTTTGACTTTTGTTACTCTTCTTGAGGGAATGCGATATGTTCGGGAGAGCTATTTACTTCTTACGCTTTATTTTTTAATAATCTATAGAAGGCCGCGAGACGTTATAACGTTTCGAAATCAATGTTATATTTTGCATTCGATTATGTATAAAGAGAATCATAAGTTACTTATTGTTAGACGTAGACGCCGCCGCAGATTCTTTGTGTTGATTTTTAGAAATACTTTAAAAAAAATGTTAATTTTTATATAGTAAATATGTTTGCATTACATTGAATTTCACTATATTTGTGGATATATATTTTGTTGAAATAAATAATAAAACAAAATATATTTATATTAATTATATACGTATATATGAAAATGATTTGGAAAATGAAATTTAAATTTCATATGTTGAATATAGACGTGTTCTTCTCTTTTTTAAAATATGCTTATCTTTCTAAGGTTAAACATATACAATTATATTTTTTTCTACAGTGAAATTTTATTTTCATTTTTTATTTAAGGAAAAAACCTACGGTCTTTTAAAGATTAATTATTCGCAATTTGGGGTTCTTTGCTTGTCGATTTGGAACGATCGACGATCAAGATAGAATGAATAAAAAAAAGAAAGAATATATATTAAAAGTACGATATAAAGGATATATTATTTTTATCAGTGCAAGAAGAAAATGGAATAGATTGACATTTACAAGAAAGTGAGAAAAATGATTATCTGTTTAATATTATTATGTGGTATTTTGTATCAGTTTTATTTTTTTGTTATATCTGTTATTTGATTGATTCATTTGTCCCAATAGACAAAATCTTTATATACTAAAAAGGAAACAGTAAGGAAATACATTTAACGTACATAATTATACGTTAAAACATTTATTATTTGCAATTTATTTGCAAATTAATAATATTAAATTTTATCCTTATCTTTTATAATCATAAAAACTATCTTAGAATAAAAATTCGATAACGACGCTGTTCTTTAGCGCAATTTTTAATCTAATTTTTCATGAAGTTTTTGATGAATTCTGAATTAGATTCTTGAACTTAAATTAATATTTTGTGTGAGCGCGAAACTCTGTGAGATTTAACCGAAGAATATAATATTGCAGGGGCGAACACAAATAACTGAGAATTTCGAGAGGCAATCTATTAATCATAGATTCGATTAAGTTTCAATTGATTTTCCAAATGGAAACGCCGGGCGTTGAACGCATATTCAAATTACGATTTATAATTTCCATTAATAGCTGTACTAACCTGCGAATTTTCTTTTCTAGATCATTGTCTGAACGAATTTTATGGTTTCTTATAGATTTTTAGGTACTGAACACGAATTCGCTTTTTAAAGGTTAAAAAGGGGTCAGAAAGACTATCCAAAGTAGTCAAAATTTACAAAAAAACACTATTTCTTTTACTTATATATTTTTGAGCAAAAATTGACTCTTTTTTTAGCATCCTCCGAAAAAGAGCAGATTTTTGTCTAAAAGATAAAAAATAATGTTTTTTTAGATTTTTAGTCCCTGAGTACGAGTGATAAAGTTATTAAAAAGTTCATGGCGTTTAGAGAACCCCTCGAAAATTATAAGCAAAAATATTAAAATTTGGATGAATGCACCATGTTTGTGCTTAATTTTTGAAGTGTCCCCCAAACACTACAAACTTTTTAATAATTTTGTCATATCCAGAAAGTCAAAATTTACAAAAAAACAATATTTCTTTTATTTACATCTTTTTGGTCGGCAACTTTTTAACATTCTTCTTTGCCTATCCTATCACAATTTTGAGAAAAATGGCATCAAAGATGTCAATAACGATTTTGAAGATTTCTGTGACGTTTAACGGCATTAAATTAAAAAAAAAAATTTTCTTTAATGTCATGAAAGTATCAATCGTATCAATTTTTAGCTTTAAAATACATTTTTTTTATTCAAGCCCGTTAAACTTAAAAAATGTGTTTATATATTTCCAACTCGATCTACGATTCAAACTGATATGATACTCCAATATCTCTATCGAGATAAAGAATCTGGATGGAGAAATCCGAATTTCGAATAGAAAATCTAAACTTCCAACTCTCAACAGAGAATCTATAACTATTTCCAATTTGTTTGAAAATCTCGGCAATATCAATCCGCAATCAATCTTTCATGTCATTCTCATTGTACTTCGACCCGCCCGTCACAGGTCGTCATAGAGTACCACCTCGGATTGACTGAAGCGAAATGGTATAGATATAACGATTTCACTCTGTGGAATACAGAGGTGGGTGGTGCACGAAGGGGATTGAAGAGTTCGAAGGTTACGACGGGCCATAAGCAACGTTCTGTTGACGTAAACGAAGTGCGAGGGCTAGGGTAGGTCAGTGATCAACATTTCGAATATCGTCACTGCTAATTTGTTGACTTCGAATAATAATTTCTAAGTTCGCGTAACGGACGATGGAATTGTTTGTCAACTTGCTCTGCAAACAACGTTTTTTCGCTTCGTGTAAGTGAGACTTTAATCTATTCACTAACTGTCGATTTCCTCGATTAAACTAAGCTGAAGAAAAGTCAGAGTTCCCTGAAATATCAATGACTCAAGACAATGAATACCCTGTATCAGCGTACATATATGTATAAAACAGGAATGAGCGATCTGTTTGGAGGATTGAAAAGGTTTCATATAAATTATATGATTTTAATCCTTTTTGTAAATCGGTGACCTCGTCTGAAGTCATCTCCTTTTATTTTACAAAACTGCTCACTCAATTTTTATGAAATTTTATCTATGGATAATTTGATAATGCTTTATTCAAAACTGAGGTTAAAAATAAAAAAATAAAAATGTAAATTCAATATAGGTATGTGTGGCGGATAGAATTAAAAAAAAATTATTTAATCATCATAAGATTTTTTAGGGGGTTTCTAATAAAGTAACAGTTTCCAATTTCGTTTTATTTGAAGCTTATTGGTGCTAATTTCCAAATTGACTTTTAAATTCTGATCACGAACCCTCATTTGTGGAGATTACCATCGTTTTAAAATTTGATATTTTCTGGCTATATTCCAAACTCGGAAAATATCAAAATCTAAAATTGAATTTCACGCTAATCAGGTTTTTTTAAATTTAAATTCTGAGACCAGAATCGACTCTCACAGATCTCAAAAACCTTTAGAAAACAAAATTTTCCCCATAAGTCACTTTATAATATTTCCATAAGTTACCGGAGGAATCTCTCTCTCTCTCTCTCTCTCTCTCTCTCTCTCTCTCGTCCTCAAAGGGTTAGTAGAAATACCAATATAAATCAGAAATAGAAACGAACTTTGAACTGTGCCCCCTTAATCATGAATGTATAATTAATAAAGGTATGTTCTGCATATTTTAAATCAATTTTTAACGAAGTATTAGGAGAAAGGCAATT